TTTTTATACATGTTCAGTGGCCATGCCGTGAAGAGCGGAGGGGAAAACTTACTAATAGAGAGCGGTGTTATAGTAGATGAAGTGTTGAGCTGCGAGCGAGTGTAGTGGCGGGATTGCCTTTTGTTCCCATGAGTGCCTGGCTATTTAGTTACAGTTTAGCGGTGGGGGGTGGGGCTGTAAGAGTGTAAAAACTATTGCCAGCTATTGAGCGCATTCCCCTTGAGTGGATGCTGCTCCATTTCCTACGATTTCATTTCATTTCAGTATTTTATTCAATTTATTTTCCTTCTGTTTGGCACAGACAATAAATTTTAATTGAAATCTGGCCTTGTGCAGAACCAAAACGCATTGCCACAGGCTGGAGTCCATGAGAGAAAGGGAGCATGCATGCGGAGGCGTCGGGCGCAGTTCCAATTTCGCATCCGCTATCGCTGATGCTGCTTTTGTTTCCCCTCGCCAACCCTCTTCCTATATTGCTTCCCGCGCTCCACTCCCTGCGGGTGTCCATGGCATTTTTTCTGTATTGTCATGGTTGCATTTTTATTTATTCCTTTGGTTGTGAATTCTGTCGGAAGGGGATGCTTGCTCGTACAACTTTTTGTGACTATATCTCTTTCAGCGCGTAATGAAATGTGAAAACGATGTGGTTGCAGGAGCAGGAGCAGGGGCAGGGGCAGGGGCATGGTAGTATAGGATGGAGGATTTCTAAAGCTTTACAGAATGTTCAGTGAATTTGGGTTGGGCCATAACCCGTTTTCCTTGAAAACTGCAAAGGGAAATGTTCATTAGTTGAACCTTCAGAGGTAGTCGTAATTGCCTCCATCGACGGTCATTCTATGCTTAAAGCTAACTGCTCCAATCATTGCAATTACGGTAAACGTAACTGCTGAATACATTGAAAATCCCTTCCAAGTATGTACATACATACATATATACCTTTGTACACCTTCTTTCTCTTATATATTTAACATTTTCCAAGGGCTATATATATATATATGTCTCTTATTGTGTGTGTGTGTGTGGGTGGATAATGCCGCAGACATCGCGTGACTCGCCGCTAATGCATGGCCGCGCCCTGAAGAGTAGGGGGGGGAGGGGGGATGATTGGAGCAACCCTTTCTGCAGCACGTGAGGACTCTCATAGCTACTAACTACTCCTCCCCTTTGCTGCTCCTCATGCGTAAACACTAAAGTTTAATGCACTCTAATTGCAAGGCGAGTGTGGGGAAGGGAAGGAGGGAAAGCGCAGCGGAAGTTAGCAGACGACAAAGGCAACACACGGCGCCATTTTCAAAATAATGCTGAATATTTAAGAGAGCATACAAAATACAAAAAGAAAGCAAGAAAGTGAGAAGGAGAAGTCGCCTTGCCATTATCCCTGCCGCACGTTGCGTGTCTGGCGCGACACAAAAGTTCAATTACTTCTCGGAAAGACGAGGCAATGGGAGGGGAGGGGAGTGGTGACGGTGTGGCCACCCACCGGATATCCGGCTCCTGCATTGCGTGCCAAATCCTAGAGCTGCTCTTTAATGACCATTCCCTCGGTAAATGGCAATAGCCTCCACGGTCGACGCTCTCCATCAAATTGATTAATGTTTGATTTTAATGATTTATTTAACTTGTCCAGCAGCCATGGGGACGGTAGGAATCCGGAGCAGGACTTGCTGCAAGGTAAACCGAGCCAAACGACACCCAGGGCGCTATGTAGAACACATTCCAAGCGAACACTCAAAATGGAATTATTTTCAAATGCTTTTTGTGTCTGATTTATGGACACAATGGCGAAGGGCAGATGGAGGATTGGTAGAGAGAAAGAGTGAGAGAGAGGAAGTAATAGGCGATAGGTGCAATGGCAAATATTTGTGCACTTGACCGCAAGGAAATATAAGCGAAAGTGGAGATAAACTGCTGTAGCGAGACTGTTCTACTTGGGAATACCCTTTAATAACAGCTAACAATTGTGTAGCAAAAACTATGCACTCTATTTGTTTCTTAAGCGAACTTCTAGACACAAAGTTCAGTTTCGACTTTTAAGAATGTGCGGAAATTCGCCTGCTACTTCGCTTTTTGGTATAACCCTTTGACGTGACGGAGCCACAGCCAAGGCGAATCAAAAAAAAAAAAAATAAACTCAAGCCAATCCCAGCCCCAGTAGCAGGCTCTGGTCAGTGTTTTGGCATTTGGATGACTAAGCTGGAGCTTTTTGCCCCTTTCATGTTTTTTTTGTGCACGTTTCAAGTGCCAAGTCAAATTGTGCGGTCATTTATTGCTAAAGACCAGCAAAGGAGGGCCAGACAGCGAGAGGTCAAGAGTTGGGTTGGCTTGGGAAGGGAAGGGAAGGGAATGGCAGGGGCGTGACTGCAGCAGCAAATAATCATGTTGCAGTTTCGGAGAGAAAAAACAGCCAAGAAATTGTCAACGAAATGGCAGCGTTTGACCTTTGTCCCCTGGCGCAGGGTTCATTAATTTGCACCTATTTCCAATGCCGCGCGATGTCCGACTACTTCCGCTGTCCGCGGTGTCCAATGTCCGTTGTCCAAAGTAAATTATAAATTTTATTTTCATTGCCTGACCGAACGTGTGCAGTGTCCAGGGTTTCTCCACTTCATTCTTGTCGCTTGGCTTATGTGCAATAGTCACGCGACTCCTTCGAGGGGGAGGGCATATTCATTTTTGACAGGATTTTCCTTTTAAGCCGCTGAAAGAGATTGTCTTCCCACAGCCATGGCCCCTCCCTGTTCGTTCTTTAGCTAATTAAGTTGATATATATTATGCGTATTTGCATTAATAACATATCGTGAGCAGTCTCTAGTCGCACCATCCCGCCGCATAACGTTCTACCCATCAAGAGCCTCTCTGCACAGCACGGAGTAAATGACAATTTTGTCGCTGAATACTTTTGGGGATTATACGAAACGAAACGACGGCAAATGTGAGTCCCATGGCATGGCTGTAAGACTGTGTGTGTGTGTGTGTTTGGTGGGGGAGGGGCAACCATTCTCTTTGGAATTACATGTGCTTAGCTGGGGCTGAGCCTGGTCTCATGTGCGGGATGTCTCACATGTACGCTTCTAGGAAATGCGTCCAGCATGGATCTGCGTCATAACCCATAGAAATCCGTTCGGTTTTGCTTTAACTATACAGCAGAAACAGTCTGCAGATTGCTAATATGGGAAAAGGCTAGAGGTAATGTATGACTTTAATCTGTTCAGTGGGAACTGTGACTCATTGAGTCAGCCTTCGTTCCCCTTCCCAGTAATCTGAGTTATAAACTATATCCGTAAATGGCGCGAAAGTAAAACAAAAAGCCAATGAAAACCAATGGAAAGTGGCAAATGGAAACCTTCAACAGCTGATTCCCTTTGATGGCCATTTAATTGTGAAAGCATTTGAGGACGGGACGCAGTATGGTCGGGCTTTTGTGAATTTTAATGTTGCATAAAAGCATTTTCCAACTGTCCCCCCCTTTTGTAGTAGGCTAATGTATCAGTGTATTGGTGTGCGTGTGCCTGCGACTGTGTGTTTGTGTTTGTGTGTGTATGTGTTTGGTTGCTTTTGAAGGTCGCAGTACAGAAATTACAGTCACGCGTCAGATTTTATGCAAAACAGTTGAGCCGAGGCTCAGGCCCAGGCTCTGGCTCTGGCTCTTACTCTTGCCTCTTGCTGTGCCAACTTGTTTTTTCTAGTTTGTGCACTTTGCGATTGTTTTTGTTGCTGCTCTCCTCCTTATGCAAGTGGCAAAGTGCGGACAAGTGAGTGTACATCCACGTACATCCACGTACATGCAAATGTGTGTGTGTGTGTGTGTTTTGGCAAGTGGGCGTGGCTGTCTTTGGCTTTGGAAGTCATAAATTTCAAACAAGTCTCGTAAAATCTCAAGTAAGCCCAGCACTTTGCGCTCGCCCGCGTTGCACATTTCGGTCTTGTGGCAGATGCAAATGAGCAGCGGCAAATGTTTGCTCAGTGTACGTAAAATGGCTGCTCATATGGTTTCTGCCTGCCCCCAGTGCCGTCCAGTAGGCCCCAGGCCAATGAATTTAAAGATGTTATCAGTGCTTTCAGGACTTAATTAACTGCTGTGGATGCTAAGTGCCTTTAGGTGCTGATCTCGGTGAAGAAGCGATCTAAATCAAATCACAGGCAGAAGGGAATTTTAATAAGTACTTTTCGGTGTAGAAATAGAAGACAACATAAGCAAAGAAACGGAAACCGTACCCAGGCTCAAAAAGTTTGTTTTTCCTGCTTTTTGCTATGCCGTATATTTCTTTTATTGACCCTTAAAATGCAAATAAGTTTAGACACACACACACACCCACAAAACACATGTGTGCATGTGAAATGTCGTACAGGTTATAGTATTTTTTATTGCCTACTTTTGCGGGTCCTGACAGACCGCACAAAACTCTGAAGCTTAGATCCCCCACCCACCTTTGCTGATTTGTTGGCTTCATTTTTGGTGTGTGGTTTTTATTTTTACAACTATTTGCCAGCTGTAAGTGCGAGAGGGGCAGAACAAACAGCAGCAACATTAAGGCAGGAAACGGGAATCATCTTTGAAAATAAAGAAAATGCAGGCTGTGCGAAACGAATCCGTTGATGCCCTATATGTCAGCTATAGGATATCGTCATTCGATTTTGATTCAATTTTACTATGCTTAAACAGATAATGCAAATGCTGGATGTTGATGCATACATACATATATCGTCCACAATGCAGTGCCTTTTTTAACATCAGCTCTGTCGCATAATACCATTAGGCAAAGCGTATTGATAGGAGTAAAGTAACGAGGCAGAGCGGCTACTTAGCGGCTCTCTTTGGAATGCTTGGGCTCCTGTCGCCGCAGCTTAATGCGGCTAATGATGCCCGACTGGCTCTGATAAGCGCTCTCTTCTGTTTGCTCTCCTTCTCCGCTTTTATTGCGGACGCACCGGCATAATAAAAGTAAAGAAAAAAAAAAAAAAAAAGGGACTTTGCTTCCCTATGCTTTCGAGGTACTTACGATTTTATGATGCAGCGCCGAGAGTTCGCGCTCGGTGACCCGTCGGCTGGCCGCCTCGCGGCGACGCTGCCGGAACTGGCTGTACTTGTAGGCGAGCATCACACCGGGGAGGGCCAGAGCCTCCAGCGGGGACTTGCGACCGAAGGGCATTCCTGCACACACACACTCTCTCCCCTCTCTCTCTCTCTCTCTCTCTCACTTGGTTTTCTTTCGGTTTTCTTTTGGGTTTTGTGGCTAGTTGAAATATTGCTTGCTGGTTTTTTTTTTTTAACACTTGGCACTTTTTCTTACTTCTAATCTCTTCTTCTCTTCCTCTCGTTTGGACTTTGACTTTTAGCGGCGTCTCATTATGCAATCACGAATTGGACACTGGCACAACACTGACAACATTTGGCTGGGGGGGTGAGGGCCCGCTGCTGCTGGCCTGCCCATGCCTAGAGTCCACTTTGGTTCTCTCTCTCTTTCGCTTTCTCTTTCATTTCACTTTTCTTTCTCCTTCGCATGCTGTTACTAATGTTGTTGCTGTTGCCACCTCTGCTGGCTATTCTGCTGCTGCTGCTCTGCTGCTGCTGCTGATGAGCAGCAATCAATTTTGCATTCTGCAATTGGCAAGACCTTTGCATGTGAGTGTGGGTGTGGGGCAGAGTTTTGTTTGTTAAGGGTTAAAAGTTCCCTTAGGAGATACGGCAATGAGGTTGAACGACGCAAATAAGGGACAAAACAGATCCACCTAAACAAAGCTCCTCAAAATTGATGGTTGATATCAACAAGTCAACAAAAAAGCGAACAGGGCTTAACAAAATTATTTTATTTTCGTGTCTGGCAGGAAATAATATCACCAGCTCTTTAAAAATATAAACATAATACGAGTATAGCATAACCATCTTTTAAACTATGCAAGTAAATGCAAAACTGTCATTTATTTACCCTATGGATGTGCTAGAAGTAGTTTGAATAAAACTTTCAAGATTGAAAATGTCTAAAAAATGATTTATTACTATTTGTTCAGCATTATTCCACAAGGAAAATGCTCAACATTCTCCTCACACAATAATTTCTTTGATGCATGTTGCTTGGCTTTGACTGATTTCTACATTTGGTGGCCCCACTGGGGGACCTTTTCTAATAAAAGAAAGTGTCGGTATGGCTATTAAAGTTATCCGGAATTACAGAGCAGACAGTCGCGTAGATCATTTCAATTATAATGCAAAGGGAGACACCAAAAGTTGGGGTCTACAGAAATTACAGAGCTCGTCGCGCACTTAGGTGGGTGGGTTGGGTAGTTGGGAGGGCAAGTAATTTTGGTTTCTTTGACTTTATATGTTTACGGGCTATTTTTGTGTCACACTTTTGTCCGACCCCCCTCCCGTCCCACCGTATGTTATGGAGGATGAACCGTAGCCGTAACCGAATTTTAGGAGTTTCAAGCCGAAACCCACGTGCACACTGGCCGAACGCTGAACGGTGAATGTCGCAGAGGAGCTTCGCCGCGTCTCGCCTCGGCAGTTTCCCACGCAACCGTCCCGTCGTGGAAGCTGCGTGAGCTTGACGCAATTTCCAGGGCGGGCAGCGGGGTCGTTCTACGACTGATATACTACTGTTCCACCGTTGGCCCTTCCAGTGCTCGGACACGTTTTGTTTACTCGAACTATTTTCGCATGTTTTATTCCCAACTAAATCGAACCGTTCAGTGGGGGTGGCAGGGGGGCAGAAATGCCTGACAAATGGCAGGTTTAATTGATCAAAATCAACCTCGAATTATTTTCGCGATGGAAATGGAATAGTTCGCCACGTTACGTATACGCCGCGTGTGCCGTCAACCTGCACTGTAGCGCCATCGAAAGCGACTGGCCTGCCACCGAGTTCAAGTCGGAGTCGGGCACGTCTCAGGCCCGTCAGCAGGCCGTATTTTGCAAGGATTTTCCAGAGGCATTTGTTTGTTTTGCGGCGCACGCGCCTGACACCATTTGCCGGCTATATTTCGGTATAACAGTTTCTGTTCTGCTGCGACTGCTGCCCCTGCATCTCCTTTGGTGTGTTGCCGTTGCCAATTTATTGTTTACTCTGTTCACACTTCTCTCTCTCTCTCTCCCTTTCTCCCTGTCTGTAATGGCAAAACGTCATCAGTGTGAGTCGTATAAACAAATCACGAACTTGGAGCCAACATTTCCATGTGCTTGCTTCCGGCTCGTCGTGTGCGGACACCGCTACCACTGATGTCCAGTTTTTGCCGTTCTGTTGTGGCTTTGTCAGGTCACACAATTGTGTCCGTTCAATTTTATGAGCCACTGTTAATTGTGGTCAGCCATTTGCCTCTTGTTCGGCTAATTGCTGCGGTTTTTACCACGTACGGTGTCCAATTTTCTGTTGCTGGCAATAAATATATGAACAGCAGCTGTAAATTTGAAGTGTAATTTGCAGCTTTTTTGGCAAGCATTTCTACAGGGAGGGAAATCATTTTAGAGGCAGGAGTAGCCAGGGGTCTATTGTCTATGGATATATTCAAAATTTATTGCTTCAGGAAAAAACATTTTCCATGTTTACGGCAGTTTCTTCACCTAAATATCAAAGACATTTTTAATCTTTAGATGATTTGGGAAAAGAAATCTTTCTATTCTTTTTATTTAATTTATTTTCATGTTGCCTTGACCATTTTACTGATCGAATGATTTTCTTTTCTTTTCCATTGCAAGTGGTAGAGCTTTTGTCTCTCTCTCTAGTTTCCACTCATTACAGGTGCGATGCAGATCAATAGCTGTCAAGAGCGCAGGTCTGCTGCAGAAACAACAAACAGCTAAAAGAATTGCCAAAAGTGCGAAGCCAAAAGTCAAACCAAAACAAAGCCAAAGTAAAAGCAACCAAAGAAAAGTCAAAAGCTGTGGGATCAAAATATTGTCTGTCCGCTCGGAAAAAGGGAGTCGCTTCCAGGGACTCGTTTCTGGCATCCAGTTAGCTCATTGGCCTCCAAAATGTCACTCCCTCGATCGCTTTTTCGGGGATTGCCAAACAAATGAGATAATACGATGCTGGTATGGAAATAGTGGATCATGGGAAATGGCGATCGAAGAAAAGGACTAGTTGCGGTACCTTGAGAGCAAATTGTGGCAGCCGTTACTGGAAGTAAACGCCAATTCAAAACTGTCATACAAAGCCAAAGAGAGAAAAGCCAGATAATTCTCTCTCTCTCTCTGGCTGTTTGGCTTGGCCTGCTTTCGTGAGAGGGCAAAACGTAGGGGGGGCCCGAAAACTGTTTGGCCACGCCATGGAAATGATGACGTAAATTGAAACCAAAAGCTGCTACGGCAACGAAATCTATTTGGCAAGAAGGGGCTCGGGCAGTAAAGCAGCGCCTTTGCCCCTCCCCCCCCACCACAGAGCCACCTGACAGGTGTGCAGCCATCTGCGAGTGCATATTTGTCGAGTCGCTGGGTGCACTTCTGAGAGACAGTGGCAGGCCGCAGATAAAGGTTCAGATACAGTTGGAAATATTGAGGCAGATGAGGCAGATAGATGCATTGACTTGGACGCTGCTCTAATGACATTTGCAGTTTGTTTGCTTTGTTTTCGGTCCTGCTGTTCTGTTGACAAACGTTTTCCATTTCCATTTCCGCTTAAATGCATTTTACCCCCCTTCCTCCACCCTCTGTGTGTGTGTGTGTGTGGGCTCTTACTCATATTCCGTTTTGTAACGTCACAAAATGTTTTGGTTTGAATTTCAGAAGCTTTTAGTTTGTTTGCCTGTGTACACACACACACGTACATATGTGTGTGTGTGTGTATGTGTGTCCTTCTATGTCCTGTCTGCACTTTGTGCTCAATTTTGCGTTTTCTATTTCTATTTTTAGACCTGCACTAAGCCAAGCACAAAAGACACGGGGGGCCAAAGAGGAGGCCGACTCCTGCACATTCGTCAGAGAACGTTGCATAAATTAATCAACAATGAAAAGATAAATATACACATAGGTACAAACGCTTGTAGGTAGAAATAAATCGAAGCTAACTGCCACCCACACACACACACACACACACAAAGCAGCCCGAGACGAAGACCTGACCCACTCAGGACACCAGCTGCTGGTCCATCCATTGACGTCACACGACCGACCCGACCCGACCCGACCCAGTGCTCCACTGCAATCGTCCTGAAGATGATGATGATGATGCAGATGCAAACGTTGACTATAGCTATAGGTAAGCACCCTCTTGACCTTACCCAAACTGTTTACACTTATCACTGGCAAGGGACCCAACAAGAGAGACACACAAGACACAAGACGGCACTTAGGGCTCAGTCCTTAGTTCGATTGACGGTGCTGGCGGGCATTGTTGATTGTCAGGGGTGGTGCTGGCGGGCATGAAGGGGTGTGGCTATATTGGAGCCAGTAAGAAGGAGATAATTGATGTAATAATGAGTGAATGGATTTCGGGAGGAGTTGACTAGCACTAAACAAGCTCTAATGAAACATTAACCTAATTTCCTTAGTTAATTAGCTATGGATTGATAAACAGCTGGACGATATTGGAGACTATCTGAGAGTCCGAATTTAAGTAAAATTGTTTAAGTTTTTCAAAGCAAAGCTCATTGTCAACTCTGGAGGATTGATAGTTATCCCATCTGTTATTCTGCATTTTATTGGGTTCATTTGTTGGGTCACCTTTGGGGCTTCCACTGTCTTGCCGTCAACTTTGGTGGGGGCGCACTTTGTTGGCTGCCCCGACGATTGGTCTGCGTCTCTGCTTGACCACGCGGGTCAGTTGCTGGACGGTCACCACGTTGCGCGGTTCTCAACCTTCTTTCGTTGTTTGTCTGCTTGTTTTTTTCACGCTGCTGCATCCTTGTCAATGGCTGCCGCTGCTGTTGCAACGCCGGGGGCCACTGTGCTGCCGCCAGGACCTGCTGCCGCTCCGCCAGTTGGTGCGGCGACGGCACCTGCCGGCAAGGGTCCCTCCAATCTGCTGGAAATTGTTGGCGAGGCCAATGTTGTAAACTACATGAAGAACCGCCTGCGGAAAGGCGCCATGAAGCGCAAGGGTCAGGAGATTGTGAATGGACATCGGTTTGGGGTGCGCTTCTTCAAGCAGCCCACCTACTGTGGGCACTGCAAGGACTTCATCTGGTGAGCGCCCACAAGGATTGTGCACTGCATCGGGATATTGTATTACTCGTGCAAATTGAAGACCCTCGCAGGGAGTGCTTTAGTTTCGAGCAGAAGTTTTCGCTTTACATTCAAGATCAAGGTCTCTGTACATTGTCCTAAGATGGTGGGATATTTCTTGGGCAGTACCCATGAGAATCCCATCCAATCCAATCACAGAAAAGCTTCCTCTGCAAGGGTATTCAAAGCCTCGACGCACCGCAGCGGAATAGTTTTTGCTGTACATTTTTGCACAGCTCTTTAATTTAATTAGCGCTCTGCTGGTTGACACAATTTTCGTTGTTTTCGTTGTTTTCGCTGCTCGTTTTGCGCTTCGCATTGCTGCATTCGTGGACTCTTTTGGACGGGATTAGGGGCTTTGGCAAGCCTGGTTTTCAGTGCGAGGGTGGGTTGAGTTGTTTCCCCTCTAATGTTTGCCAGAGAACGTTGTTAATTGTGTTGCACTTGCATCCCAAGCAGAGTGCCGCTTCAACATCCACCAGAAGTGCTGCAAGTTTGTGGTGTTCAAGTGCCCCGGCAAGGACACGGACTTCGATGCAGACTGCGCGAAGGTGAAGCATGGATGGATCTCTACCACCTACACAACGCCCACCTTTTGCGATGAGTGCGGCCTGCTGCTGCACGGCGTGGCCCATCAGGGAGCCAAGTGCGAGAGTGAGTGGGCGTCGGCGTCGGTGGCCGTTTGCCAGGTGTTGATCCATCTGTAATGGCTCTCATGTGTCACTCCTTTAGACTGCAACCTGAATGTGCATCATGAGTGCCAGGCGAAGGTGCCACCGATGTGTGGAGCGGACATCAGCGAGGTTCGTGGCCGGCTGCTGCTCTACGTGGAGCTCAAGGGGAATAACCTCAAAGTCGACAGTAAGTCTCGTGGGGGGGTGGAAGGGTGGATTATCCAGACCTTAGCTTGAAAGTTTACTCTAACCCACAGTCAAGGAGGCGGCTAATCTCATTCCCATGGACACCAATGGGTTCAGCGATCCGTACATCGCTGTCCAAATGCATCCCGATCGTTCGGGACGCACCAAAAAGAAGACCAAAACCATCCAGAAGAACCTCAATCCGGTCTTCAACGAAACCTTCACATTGTACGTTGTTTCTCTGCACTTTGTTTGACATTAAACTGAGCATCTCCTGTGCCCGGTAGTGAGCTGCAGCCGCAGGATCGGGACAAGCGTCTGCTCATCGAGGTGTGGGACTGGGATCGCACTTCGCGCAACGACTTTATGGGCTCCTTCTCGTTTAGCATGGAGGAACTGCAGAAGGAGGCGGTCGATGGCTGGTACAAGTTCCTCTGTCAGGTGGAGGGCGAGCACTACA